ACATCACTCCTCCATCGCAGCCACACTGGTAATTCACACCTCCGCCGTGTGGTCGCAGATGATTTGGTAGCACCTTCACACAGCTGATACTTGTGCTCATGCGACTGTGCAACTGATTCTGCTGACAATGGTGTTGGTCCATGCTCAGCTGCTGGTGATGTTGTTGATGCTGCCGATGCTTGTGTCGTGCTGGTGTTGGAGCTGCTTCGGAGAACGTCCATGATCTTTTGGTAAATGCTGCATGGTGAAGGAAGCGAGGATGTTGATGAGGATGATATTCGCACTCAGGCTTTTAAAATTTGTTCTCTGCAATTGCTGTTTCTGCTGGCTGTGCTGATGCTTCTGTTGCTGCTAGTGTTGGTTGCCTTGCTTTTGCTCTTTACGTTGCTGCGATTTTGGTCATAAAGCTGTCGTTCATGCTTCTGTTGTCATCGTGGCAGTAGCACTCGAGTCGGAGCGCATGCCGGGGAACAGAGGCAGGTCTGGGGCAGTCACAGATCTGATGTGTGCCAAGAGGCTTGACACCTGCATCATGCAGACGTAGAATAATTAGAACATGGCACCCACTTAAAAATCTTATACAAAGATATACATATAGATATATAGTTCCCTTAAAGCAATACTAATTATACTGTGCCCCCCAAATCCCCAAAATTACGCATGATATGCCTCTCAGTTCCCTCAAGGCAATACTTACAATATGGCACCCCCCCCCCCCCCCGTACCCTATATTCTAAACCCTAAAGACTAAACCCAAACCCTGTTCTAAGTAACTAAGGCCCTAAGAATAGTGAAGCCGACCAAAATCCTGCACTCGGATATGGACCGAAGAATTCAACACAAGTGCAGGAAACCTGCTTCTTGTCGGGTTTAGGGGTCTAGGGTTTNNNTTAGGGATTTTGGGGTTAGGGCTTAGGGCCTTTTTCCACAGCGATTCCGGCATGGGCCGGGCTCAGCAGGTCTTTATGGAGGGTTTGGGGTTTCGGCTTTCGGGCTCGACCGTCTCGGGGTTTGCTGCCTGGCAGGGACAATGGCCTAGTGAGACTCAGCCTTTAGACGCTTGATTCAGATGCAAATCGTCGTCAACACCCATAGAAAACACCAAAATGCCCTATACTGGTGAACCTGATGTGGTCCATGCTCCCAAGGCCCGCGCTAGACGTCACCGCCGAAGCGGCGCTTCTGCGGATTGACTGCTCCGAAGTGGTTATCGCCCTTCCTGGACCTTGCTCAACGGAGCTTCAAGCTTACCGGGAGATCAAAATAGGGATCAGACACGCCCAAGGAGCCCAATACCCCCCAATTATATGGGATATATACGTAAGATTAGTCGGGGCCGTACCTTTTGTGGTTTAAGACATATTCCTTATTAAGGGGGCTATTGGGCCGGTGTTTGGCTCTCTGGACACCGAGTGCCTGGACTTGAGGTTCCCAAGCCTAACGTTGACACCAGGGTAATCAATCACCCCCTCCCCGGTCGCTTAGGACTTGAAGGGGCTCTCTTGAAATGAACGGTCCGCTTTGCCGATCCGGTACTAGAAGCTTCCTAACTATTCTTGAGGTCTACATTTCGGTCCCCGATTTTCTGAACCTCCCATGTAGAACACCCCTTGCACCCTATACCGGCTCTAATTGCATGAGACTTAAAGTAGAAGCCAGAAAGTTGAAACATCATTGTCCTGGTGCCCTGACGGTAAAGCACAGGGGATCGTAGCACGAATCAGCCTAAACATGTTCCAACTTTCTGGGCTTCACCGTAATTCCGAGATGTACAAGAACTAACACCGTAGATTCCAAAAGCACCCCAAAAAGGAAACTACTCTCAAAATCGTAACTTGGCTTCCGCTGCTGTCTGCCTTCCCGGGGTTGTCGAGTACACGAAGGAAATCTGTGAACAATGGTACTGGTTTAGAGTTTACGGTTCAGGTTTTAGGGTTGTAGTTATCTTGCGAGAGGCTGTGAGATAGTAGTCACACTTAGTTTAATTATCCCTCCAACAGTGACCAAACCACCATATGTTCTATGTCTGCGAACTGCAAAGTGTGCCTGATTGCTTGTCCAAGCGACTTCTGACAAAGTCTTCGCCCCTTGAGGAGATCCCGTTGCTGTTCAGCGCATGAGTCAAATACAGCTCGTGCAAATGCGCGTCCTTGTCCATTGCATCCTTACGCTACGGAGGTCAGCGTTTGAGCCGCAGACAGCCATCAAACGAGGGTTTTGTGGCTTCGTGTTTTAGGGATAAGGTGGTTACCCATAGGCCCCTAAGTAGTTCCTTCTTTATGGTTTATATCTAGAATCCTATAAGGTAATCCCAAAAAGGAACTACTTAGGGGCCTATGGACACACCGGGACTCCCCGTCCAGGCATTAAACCTCTTCGGCTCGAGGCGTTAAGCCTTTCATGACGCCGGAACCCAGAGCCTAGAACTATGACCCTAAACCCTAAACCCTAAACCCCCAAACCCTAAACCCCCAAGCCCTAAACTCTAAACCCCTTTCAACCCCTAAACCCTAAACCCTATAAAGCTTCAGCCACCTTAAGCCTGAAAGCCTAAAGCCAGGGATACAGTCGCCAGCTCCATGCTGCTATCTGCTAAGGTTTCCGATGAGGGATTACAAGTTTAGGGTTTAGGGATTACTGTTGGGTTTAGGGCTCTACGTGACCACCATGATCCGGTTTAGGTCTTGGGGTGTGACATTACCGATGGTGATCTTTGATGGTGGCAGAAATCAGAAGTGGCTAGGATATAAGAAAGGCCGTCAAAGCCTTGTCCTGCATCCTCATGGTCCTACAAGCGATAATGTTAGTCAACCTCTCCGTTTTTCAGGGTTCTGAAATCCTTGGACTAAAACGTGATCTTTGAAGCGACGGTGGTGGCAGCATATGGTAGGAATATGTCGCTACTGAAACTACTTTCACATCAGCCATCAGCAGCACCACCATCGGGTGCGGGTCTATATAGTGCCTAATTGTCCTGCCTGTTCCAATACTAGCTAGATGGCTACACCAACTTGAAGGAAACACAATCCTGCGGCGAACCTCACAGCACCCACGCACATGAAAAGCGACGGCATTCACAGAAACACACATATATATATATATATACATATGTATATATATATATACGCACATATGTATATATATATATATATATTATGTATACATTTTGTCTGTTTACTTATAGCTGTATGGTTTTCGGTCATACAACACTAGATCATCTGCGATCAGCATTTGGGAACTTCTGGCAACGGCACCAGCCCGTTAGCTCCAATACCCCAGCGAGTTCACGGTAGCTTCATAGGCCTGTGACAACACCGTTGCTGATCGCCCACTCTTCTTCGGTCTTAAATTCTCTTTGTCCTGAAACAGAGGCTAAAGGTATCTTGGCGGTGGAGGGAAGGGGGGATGTTGCTACAAGAAGGGTTCTCCGGCTTCTCTGCAACATCTCATAAAGCTTGGCGGGAAGGGGGGGGGGGAACCATGTGATGATTAAGAACGCGCGGAAGGAGGATGTTGCTACAAGAAGGCTTCTCTGGATTCTCCGCGACATCATAAAGCTTGGCGGGAAGCGGGGCTTGATTTCATGATCAGCTACGCTCGTCCCCTGAGTTTTGTTGAAAGAGGCATCTGGTATGCATAATGCGCGTCCTTGGAGGTTTCGGACAAGTTCGAGTGAATGGGAATCATGAGACTCTTGAATCGCAGGGAGAGGGCTGTTGCAAACAAAGAGGCCTGAGAAGCCTAGCCAGAAACCTTAAAAAACCCTACGACGTGCTAGCCTTGAGCCTCAGACTATTTCATCTCCGAACTGCCAGAAATGAAACCATGGGACCCTGCCTGCTCAAATTTCGCGAACTCAACAGCTGGACGGCTACCAGTAGCCTCCTTGCACGGTTGGACCAGCAAAGGGCAATTTGGTGAAGAATGGTGCGGCCGGTGCAGGCGGGCTTGGAGCAAAGGGCATTGACAGAGGTCTGCAATATATAGAGGCCTCAATCATTAGAATAGGGTTTTGGGGGGCATGATTATACGACAAGTATTGGTA